CGCAGCGAGGCCACTTCGTACGCCATTAAGTTCGAGAGCGAGCAAGACGCCACGAACATGCACGGCCTGCACTTGATCCCTCCGCAGACACTAGAGCGACCCATGCATGTTCCTTGCTGGTCGGCAGAGATCTACCGATCGACGTCAGGAAGAGGAGCCACGCGATTTCCAGGTGCTGGACCATGTACAAAAGTCCCCTGACCGACAACAGTATCTGGTAGCCTGCGATAAACTCGGATGCAACCCGCATCAAGGCGCGCGCTGCCTGATCCACGGCGACCAGCCCTTCGAACTAGTCAAGTGTGTCGAAAGCGTCGACAGGAACCTTTCCTTTCGAGTCCCAGCACACAGTCCTCGGCGAGCTCGGGATTGACTGGGCCGCCCAAACCATCCTGGGGATGGTCCCCTCGAGGCGGCCTAGGATGAGCTCGCGCAGGACACTCGCAGGACCGAGACTCCGGCAGCCCCGCCCCTTGCTTCGATCGCGCGCCCGACAGGTTTTGGGCGCGAGGTCGCCCCGTTTGATTCCGATTATGGTCCTTGTCCCGAGCGAGCTCCGAAGCGCTGAAGGCTACGGGCCAGTCGGGAGCGCGCCGCTCGGTCTCCACCGCCACCCCCACCCCGCCCCCCACTCGCGCGCGGAATGCCAGGTTTTTTTTCTCCAGCGCGCGGCGCAATTTGCTCTCGCTTCACTCAGGTGCCCGCTTCGGCGCAGCGGCAGGCCCCGTTTCCGGGCAGGAGAGATCATACAGGGAAACGCGCGCGATGTATCAGCACACCGATTTCGCATGCTTGCAGGGAACCCACGGGCCCCTATAGCTGACCTCTCCAGCCTGGACCGCGACTACTCCCGACATCTCTCATGTCGGCCCCTTTCTCCCCATTCATGTTGGCAGCGTGGTGATTTCATCCGGATATCAGCATTGCGTCTCCGGCCTGAACGCCTCGCGATTGATCGCGGGCGCGCCCCCTTTCCGGTGCTCCGGGAGCCCGTTCGCTGCCTTGAGCCCATCAGTGTCCACGCAGGGCCACAAAGAAGGCGCGACCTCAAGATACAGTTGCGAAATATTCGCCGTCATGCCTTCGGCTCGGGACCGCTTCGGATTCTCACCTGGAATGCGATTGGATGATCCTGGAGTTTGCCGGGCAGCCTTTCTCTCCGGCGTCTCAGGAAGCCCCCGGGGTGGCGGCGGCCTCTGGGTTAGGTAGCCGGTTCGGACACCTGTTTCCGCGATGCGCCGAAGCCGCTCAGCCAGAGTTCCCTCGCGGATGCGAAGCTGAGGTCGTCTTGATGGAGTGTAGTCTCGCTTGCCCAGCTCAATTCCCGTGGACCTCCCCCCTGGAATGTTTACATCTGGGCTTGCTCATGACCGTCGGGAATTGCCCATCTTATCCCAGCGGTGCTGCCGCTGACCCCCCATGGGACCTCTAACATTGCGGAGGACGATCCATGGAGAGGAAGCATGCTGCCAAATAATTCCCAGAAGTCTAGAGCATGTGTTAAGCATGAGTTAAGCATGTAAAACCTCATGCTTGACACATGCTCAGAACCCTTTCCGACATGTTAAACACGCTTTAAATTCAATGATCGGACTGTTAGGGTGCCCATTGGCGTGGCATCCACAACTCTAACAGCAAGCACCCCAAATTGGTCGTCCAGCTTCCTGAGCTCGAGCTTCTCCAGCACCCGACTGCTCTGGAGGCCGGCCTGCGAGGATCCCATGGTGCGGGTCTGGGGGGCCACGGAGCGCATCGGCACGTGGCGACGCGCCGTCTCTCGCACGAGACCTTCGGGTTCGCGCCCATCCTCGACCGCCAGAAGGTCGCTGCAGTAGATGGACGATATATTCGAGCCCTTACACATTCGAGGGAGATTCTAAATCACACCCGCGCCCCCGACATCAATGTTGATCTCAGTAAAGGCGGTGCTTTGGGGTTCGAATATTTCTGTCCACTCACGCCCCCCCCGTCGCCACGCCATCAATATTTAGTTCGGGGGGTCTGGGGGGCATCGTGGGCCACAGTTGGCATTCTGGCTCACGCGCCGCCGCCGCTGGGTCGCCCCGCCGACCCGCCGCCTCGCCGACGCCGCCGACGACCGACGCCCGCTCCGCGAAGGCGACGCTGGACGCTGCGCGCGGCGCAGTGCTGGCGACGCACGCGGCGGCTGGGCTTGCGAGCGGCCAGCGGGAGGCGGTACGCCTCATCCGCGCCGCCGAAGGCCTGCTGCGCACGGCGGTGGCTGTGCTCGCCACGCCCTCCTCCCCCGCGCTCGTCGCGGCGCCCCTGGCGGATCCAGCGGCTTCCTCGCGCAGGAGGCGGCGGCCCCGCGGCCGCGGCGGCTCGAAGGGCGGGGACGAGAACGGCAAGCACTACATCGTCGCTGACGGCATGGACATCGACAAGGGGTCGGCGGGCGAGGTGGCCACGGGGGCTGGCGCCCCGCCTCAGCCGATGCTGGAGGACGACGCTTGGGCCGACGAGCTGCCCGTGGCGACGCAGGCTCGTGGCCCGCCTGCCAGCACAGACCAGCGCGAGGGCAAGGGCAAGAACGCGGGCAAGGGCGGCGAGAGCGGCGGCAAGGGCAAGCTTGGCCACCTCGAGGTGTGGCAGCTGAGGAACCTCGTCGTCCGCCTGCGGGAGCGCGCTGGGCTGCCCCCCGCTCCCGAGACGGCCCCCTTCGACCGCGGCGTGCTGGTCGCAATGGCCGTCGAGCTCGAGGAGTTGGCGGCCTCGTCCGACGGCACGCGTGGCGGGGGCTCCGGAGCGGCTGGTGGCCGTCGAGCGCGTGGTGGTCCACGTGGTGATGGTCCAAGGCCCGGGGCGGCCGGCCGCGGGAGGAGCAGCGGGGGGGGGTGGTAGGCGGCCTCGCCGCTTCGCGTGCAGGGCCCTCGCCCCTTCCCCCTCCCGCGGACATGGACGGCATTGATAAGTCCGTCCACGTGTGAGCTCGACTGCATCGAGTTCGCGGTCGGGGGGTCCTGGCACCTCAGGTGGTGACCAGGCCCCCCGCGGCGGGAGGCGGGGTACACGCGCCCTCCTGAGGCTCGGTCATCAAAGGCATCGTGGGCCACAGGGTTCGAAGATAATGTCCATGCGCGGTACCACTCCGAAGTGCACGCGCGCGGCCCAAGAGGTCAACCATATGCAGGTGATCCAGTCTCTCCCAGCATTCCGGCGACGCTGTGACGGAGGCGGAGGCCCCACCTCGACGTCGCTGGGTCTCACCCGTATCTCCAGGGCCTCGGCGGCGACATCTTGCGCGCATAGGTCAGCGCGCTGCCCGTTGCCCATCCGAACGCCTCCCATTCCGGCCAGATGCCCTTTCGCCTCCTCGACTTCCTCGGGCTCTGGCCCCCCGAGAGGCGGCGGCTCGCCGCGGCCCGTGCCTCCGACCCCGACGGCGCCTGCGCCGCGCTGCTGGCCGCAGGCGATGGGAGTTTTGCTCGTCGCTGGGGCGAGGTCCACACGGAGCGGCCGAGAGGGCCCCGACGGGGTCGCGAGGCGGTGGCCGTCGAATGAAGTCCAGACCGCCCCCCCCCGCATTGCGGGGCGCGCCCCCGAATCTGACCGTCCAGGCAGCTAGAAGGCCAGAGGTGAGCCCGCGCCATGCCCCGACGGCGTCGTGTATGTTCCGCGGCAATGAGGTGGCGAACTCTGTCACGACTGCCTGTTCGATCTCTACTCCCCCCTCCTCGATGTCAATGAGATGCTCGACGGTTTCAACACCTCGCCCACTGTGTTCATTCCAAGGGCGACAGTCGCACTTGAAAATATGGGCGGCAATGCTCCTAGGGACTCGTTCGTTAAATCTACTCGACCCATCGCTCGCTCCAGTTGCGCCAACAAGATCTCCGCTGCTGCGGCTGCCAGTCCCGTCTCCTTCGCCCAGGCGCAGTTCTCCGCCTCCCCGGCCCAGAAAAAGGCCTCGTCGGGAACAGGCAGAGGAATGATCAAATCGTCGTCCTCCTCCGCAATCGCTCTCCTCAGGACCCCGCCTTCCCCGTCTAGCCCGCCTGTCCCTCTGTGCATGTTTCTGTGAATTGGGTCACCCCCCTCGTGGTCGCGCGCGTCCCTCGCGCCTCCGCACGGCCTTCCCATCCAGGGCGGGCCGCTGCCAGGGTGCGCCTGCCTGGTGGGGCCCGCGGCCTCCTCGTCGCCGCTCCTGCCTCTGGGGTCGTGTTCGGCCCGCTCGTCGGGCCGGCCGCGTCGCGGCGAGGCACCTCTCCTGTGCAGTCTTCGGCCCTTCAGCCCACACGCCCACCAGGATAATTGTCAGGAGGGAAAAAAAACACAGACACAATTCACCCTCGATCCCCCAGAAAATATAGGAAAATATGGGAAGTGGTGGGGAAGACAAAAACCCAGAAAATATAAGAAAATATGGGATATATTTCTATTTGTGTGTATTTATTTGTGTGTCCCAGGGCCCCTTCAAATTGTCCCGGCCCTCGGCGGTTGCATGTTTCGCAAGTTGCCATGGGCCTCCTCTTTTGGGGGCACATGCAGCTGACGGCGGTCGTCGTGCCACAGGCTCTAGAGAGAGGCTTCGAGCACAGATGATGTGTGTTGGTGGGTGGGGGGGTGGCTGGAGTCGCCTTCGCTCTCCCCCCTCTCCGTCCCCCACTGCCTCCGTCTGAAGCAGAGCGATGGCTAAGCTGGATGAGCTCCACGAGTTTGGACCAGGGCACGTGAGCCTTTTCTCGGCAGACGGGCCTCGCCCAAGCGATGGGCAGGTTCAAAACTCACATGCTCGAGGCCGCGGCCCCCACGGCATGCCCTACCCGGCACGGGCGGGCTCCTCTGCGGGCGCGCACGACTCCGGCGTTCGCTCCCCCCTCCTCCTCGCCACCCTCCGCCCTCCTCTTTCGCTCCCCCATGCGACATCGTACGAAGCGCCCGAGACACGCCGAAGCCCCCCCCCCCGCAGCGCCCGTCCCCCCCCCTCCCTCCCGAGTGCGCCCCAAGCCGCTTCCCTCTGAGCGCCCGCTTCTCCGCAGCCCCGCCTTCGGCTCAGGGCCAGTTTGCGATCGAGCTTTCGGCCGGCCTTTCGCTCGGGAACCCTGAGACCCTGAGATCCCATGAAAAATCGGCAGGTGCTTCGGACACACTCTCTGTGTGTCGTTCTTCGAGCTAGGTCGGCCCGTGAGGGCCTCAGGGCCCGAGGCGATGCAGACCCGCCCGACGCCCAACAAATGCGACTCCAGCGTCTCAGAGTTCGGCTCGGGGCCATTTTGCGATCGAGCTTTCGGCCAGCCTTACTCCAGATTTCGTAATAAAGGGAGAGGGGTCTCATTTCGGGGGGGGGGGTCTCTTCCAGGGTATCTTGGAGGGCCTGGGGGGGTCTGGGGACGATGTTTTGGAGGGTTCTCCCACGGGGGGGGGGTCTGAAATGGCTTGTCTTGGAGGGTCCAGACCCCCTCCCTTTTATTACGAAATCTGGAGTACGCTCCCCCGACCGCAAGCCAGAACAGGTCATGGCTTCCCGCTCCGGGGCCCTCCCCGCGGCCGACGTGGCGGCCCTGTGCCTCCTGGCGCTGCGCGTCCTGGTCGCCCCCGCCCCCGGCCAGGCCGCCGGACATCCGACGACGTGATTGGCTCCATTTGGCGGCACGCCCGGGGGGAGAGGGGGGAGGGCCCCCCCCCCCCCCCTCGCCCCCCTCCCTCCCCCCCCTCGCCCCCCCCCTCCCCCCCCCCCCTCCCAAAGCAAGCTTAAGACTCTTCCCTGCTCGACTTGCCAGGGGGCTCTGGAGACCTCCGGCGACCCCTGCTCCATCCCTGACCCCAGATCCGCCCTACTTTGGCTTTTTTCCAACTTAAAATTGCGTCGGGAATCCACCTAGAAGGAGCCGAAAAAGTAGGGCGGAAATTGTTGCACCCAACATAAAATAAGGCGGAAATCCACAGAAACAGCAGCAGAAAAGTAGGGCGGAAATTGGCATCAGCGGGGCTTGAAAAGTAAGGCGGAAATTCCAAGTTCCAGTTCCGAATTTCCCCAAAGTAGGGCGGATCCGCGGTCAGGGGAGGGGGCAGGCCTTCCCAGAAGGCGGCGGGGCTTCTCAAAAAAATCCTCGCGCCGTTTCTCTTACGAGGCCTCGGTGAGCCTTGGCATCGCTCGGACGTGTGCATTTTTTCGGCGAGAGCCATCGAGGACCGTCCTGGACCATCGAGCAAAAAAAAAAAAAAAACGCACGAAACCGAAAACGTGAACGGGAAATGGACGTCCGAGCGACGGCAAGAGAAGGCGGCGGGGCTTCTCAGAAGCCCTCGCGCCTTTTCTCTTGAGAAGCCTCGTGAGCCGTCTCCGAAGCCCCAGGCGCCGTCTCAGAAGGCGCGAGGGCTCCTGGGAGGTCCCGCCGCCTTCTGCGATTGGCTTGCGCCCTCCCACTTCCCCCCCGGGCGTGCCGCCGATCAGTGGGTGGAGGAAGGCAGGTCTGCACGAGCATCATTTTTCTGAACTCCGCGCGGATTTCTTGGATCGGCGCTACCCCCCGTGCAAAAAGCAACTGGTGTTTTCTACCCACCTCCCCCCACCCTCTCTCTCAACTTCAATGCTCAATGCGGTGCCGATCTTTCTTTCGAACTTCGCCGGTCGCGCGATCAACATTGAAATGTGGGGCCGGGGGGCTCACCAAAGACCAGTCGCTTTTCGCACGGGGTTGTAGGTCTGCCCAAGCATCATTTTTCGAAACTCCGCGCGGATTTCTTGGATCGGCGCTAGGGCCGCCTCTCGTCGCCTCGGGCGCCGCCCCTGGCTCGCTCCCCACACCACGGAAAGCGTCTCCGCGAGGATCCACGAAATCCGCGCGGACTTCGGAACGTGAATGTTTGTGCAGCTGGTTCTTCCCCTCACGCGCGGCCCTAGAGGTCCCGACCCTCGCCCTCGGCCTAGTTTTCCGCTCAGATCCGTTTCACAGGCCCCAGGGGCCGAAGCCGAGTGGAAACGCCAGACAGACAGACAGAAACCATGCACATCTCAGGTGCGGTGGCAACATAGTGAAACAGAGATGATTGGGGGAGAAACCACGAGCGTGCTAAGCATGGCGTCAGAAGAGGAGGAGGAGGAGGAGAAGGAAGAAGAGGAGGAGGAGGAAGAGTCAGGAGGAGGAGGAGGACCAGTGTAAACCCAAGACGCATCAACGATGTTACAATAAACCTTCCCTCCGAGTTTCCTCTACATAGGTCACAACCAGAATTAATTCGGATTGTGGGAAGTGCCCCATTGGAAGCCAACCGTTTGATAATATTCATTCGTGCCAGAACACCATTCCTGGGACCTCAGCGCTTCAGCGCCGCGAGTCAAGGGGACTACTGCGTCCTGGCAATCCTAAGCCGTGTCAGAACTCTAGACGCTTCGCGTATCCCCACCTCTGGGCAATCAGGCTTCGCCCGTAGCCCGGGTTGACTCTGACGCTGCATGCGCCTTCGCTTGCGGCTGCGACGAACAAAATAACCCCACCCGGACATCCAGAAACGATGCCCAAACGAGTTGCCCTTATTAGAGATGTAGAGGAGCATGCAGTGAAAGAAAGGGCTGGGTAAGACGTCATACCCTAAGAGGGGGAGGATGGAGGAGGAATCGGAGGAGCAGGAGGAGGAGGCAGACTGGGAGAGGGAGAAGGGAGGAGGAAGGATGGGGGAGTGGGCGGATGAGAAAGAGGAGGAGGAGGAGGAGGAGGAGGAGAAGGAGGAGGAGGAGGAGGAGAAGGGAGAGCAGAAAGGCCAGAAGCCTCTTGGATGCTTCTCGGAGTCTCGTTGGAGTTCGTCCGAGATCTTTGGGGTCTCTTGGCAGTCTCTGGGGCCTCTTGGGACGTCTTGGGTGTACCTCTCGGGGCCATTGGGAACGTCGGGGGCCATTTTGGAGGAGATCGATCAAAGGAGGGGCAGTAGTACATTAGCCCCCCCCCCCAGGAGGCCAACATGCAGTCAAAACCTGCGTAAAATCAACGATGTTGGTCTTCTTACCGAAACCTCGTTGGAAGTGTTGGGTGCCTCCAGGGGGCCTCTTGGGATCTCTTGAGACTCTCTTGGGAGCTTATTGGAAGCATCTTTCGGGGCCTCTTGGAGGCCTCTTGGGGCCACCTGGGCACCTCTTGGGGCAGTCTTGGTGCACCCTCGGGAGCCCCGGGGGTCACCTTGGGGCCATCTTGGAGAAGATCGATCAAAGGAGCGGCCGCAGTACAGTAATTAGGCCCCCCCCAGGAGGCCACCATGTGGCAACAAACTCAGTAAGTCAATGCTGTTGGTCTTCTCGCCAAGACCTCCTGGGGCGTCTTGGGTGCCTCTGGGGGCCCTCTTGGGGCATCGTGCGGGTCTCTCCGGAGCTTCTTGGAGGCATCTTGGAGGCCTCTCGGGCGCCTCGTTGGGCCTCCTGGGCACTGGGCCTTCTATGGGCACCCTTGGGAGCCTCGGGGGCCATCTTGGGGCCATCTTGGAGGAGATCGATCAACGGAGGGACCGTAGAATATGAGGGTCTCCCCCAAGGAGGCCAACATGAGGCCAAATATTGAAGTCGAATAAATCAATGATTCTGACTTCCTCGCCGAGGCCATCTTGGACGCTCCAACGCCTCGCGGAACGCCCTCTCCAAACCCAGGGGGAGGGGATACGGGGAGGGATCAAGACACCTTCCCCGACCACAAGCTGTCTCGCTCATTCCTACCCGCCCAACACATACGAGTAGCACCCGAGCCTCAACATGTTCAGCGGTTTCTATGGATGGACAGCTACTGGAAGCCAACGAAGACCCCATATAGGCGCGCCACACGCGCCAGGTGCGCCAGGCACCCCTGGGGCCCAAGCGTGCCAGGCACCTGGTGCGCCAGATGCGCCAGATGCGCCATGTGTGCCGCATGGTCCAGCCACGCTAGGAGCGCCACGTTCGTGGCACGCGCAGAGTGTGCCAGGTGCGCCCGCGCACGTGACAGCACACATCGGGAAACATGTCGGCCCCCACCATCCTTATCGAAAACCAATGCGCAGTCGCGGCGGGAAGGTCATCATGGTGTCGGCTGGGCCTGCGCACACCAGGCAATATGCCAGCACCCTCGCCGTCCTTGTTAAAAAATACTGGACAGTAATTGCTGGTGGGCCGCGCGTGATCCAGATTTAGCCGCGAAGTGCATCTTGCATTTTTTGTTGACAGGGGTAGTGGCCTGGGACACAGCAGGCAATATGAGCCCCCCCCCGCCGTCCCTTCCAAGAAACAAAACAAAGTGCTCGCGGGGCCCACGATGATGACCCAATATTTTGTGAAGAGGTGTAGTTCGTATCGTTTTTGACAGAGATGGTGGGGGAGGTCATTTGTCCTGGTTGGCTGCCGGTCGCCTGGGGGAGGGGGTGTTTACGACTAGAGAACAGTGATCAACCATCCCCGAGGGTTGGACATGGTTGGACGAGGAAACGCTTTAAACCACTCACGCCCTAAACGGAAGGTCGGGTTCTTGGTATTTCAACACCGCGATTCATCGTGACTGCTGCGTTCTGACGCGCGTAAGTTGCACGATGGCACAGTTCCTAGGTGTTCAGCCATGCGAAGCCCTGAAATTGCAAACATACGAATCCTCGAACCTGCTGTGCAATTTTAAGACTAATGCGCGTGGCGCTACAGCGAGAGCAACATTATGAAAACGGCGCGCCCTCCAACATTGAAATGGTTGCTAACGTTGAAGACGAATGCGCACGGCGTTAAGGCGAGAGCAACATTTTGAAACCGACCCGCCCCCATGCTTGAAATTGCTAATGTGCGCGGCGTTATGGCGAGAGCAGCATATTGAAAACGACTCGCCCTCCAACTTTTAAACTGCTGCACGCGTTTAACACAAATGTGCTTGTCGCTAGGCTGAGGGCTACATTTTGAAACCGACCCGCCCTCTGTCCGTGAAGCTAGTGCAAACTTGAAGTCTCAGGGGCATAGAAGTGAGGAAGTCTCAGGCGAAACGCTCGGCCCGCCCTACCCACACGTCTCGAGGTGCGACACGGAGGAGTTAGTTACGCAGCACCCCGCAATTGCGGATTAGAATGAGGGGACAGGCGCGGGGTCGCGGGAGTCGGGCGGGCGCGGGGTGGGTCTGGGTGGGTTCAGGTGGGTCGCAGGCTGATCGCGGGGTGGGTCGCGGGGTGGACACCCAGGGACATGGAATGACCCCTCGGCCCCGTCGCTCACTCTGATGAGGATGAGGGCGGAGCAGGAGCAGGAGGAGGAGGAGGAGGAAGAGGACGAGGAGAAGGAAGATGCCAGGAGCGCCCGACAAAAAACCGCGCCGTCGGCGGAGGAGGAGAAGGAACATGCCAGGAACGTTTGCCGAACCCGCGCCGTCGGAGCTCCAGGCCTTCGCCCCGCTGGAGGCCGGCGCCTCGCAGTCGGTGCACCGCCGCTGCCGGCCGCTCGGCGGCCGCGGCACCGCGCTCGCCTCCGGCCAGGCCCCCGCCGTGGTGAGCGGCGTCCCGGCTCGCCCGGGCGTCGCGGCGCACTTCAAGGCGAGCGGCGCGGCAAAGCCGAGGAACGGAGCAGCGTCGCGGCGCATTTCGAGGTGAGCGTGTCGCGGCGCGGAGCCTCGGGGGAGCAGAAAACGACACGGGGATCGTGCTCGGATTCGCTGCTCGGCCGATCGGCGCGGGCCGTCGCCACCCCCCCGTCCCCCACCCCCCCAGCGTCGATTTAGCGTCGGTTCAGCGTCGATTATCGGGTCGGGCGAAAGGGGGGGATTGGGAAAGGGGGGGTTACGAAATCTGCTGTATGCAGCTGGTTTCGGCCTCTCCGAGGGGCCCATTCCTCGATATATGGGCGCCTCCCAGCGCCAGGAGGCGCCGGGAAAATCAGCTACGTGAGCTGATTCTCAAACCCCCCCTTTGCTATCCCCCCTTTTGCCCGACCCGAGATTAGCGTCGTTTCAAGGGCAGCGGCGCAGAACCTCGGGGAACAGAAAAAATAGTAGAGTGATCGTTTTCTGACTCACTGTTTCGCCGGTCGGCGCGGGCCCTCGCCCCCGCCCCCGTCCCCCACCCCCCCGGCGTCGAGCAGCGTCGATTTAGCGTCGACGAGCGTCGACTCGCATCGATTCAAGGTCAGCGGCGCAGGGATCGGGGAACAGAAAATAACAGAGTGATCGTTTTCCTATTCGCTGTTTTGTCGAGCGGTGCGGGCCCTCGCACCCCCCAACCCCCACCCCCCCAGCGTCGATCAGCGTCGATCAGCGTCGATTTAGCGTCGACGAGCGTCGACTAGCGTCGTTTCAAGGTGAGCGGCACAGAACCTCGGGGAACAGAAAACATAGTATAGTGATCGTTTTCTGACTCACTGTTTCGCCGGTCGGCGCGGGCCCTCGCACCCCCCACTCCCCCCACCCCCCCAGCGTCGATCAGCGTCGATTTAGCGTCGACGAGCGTCGACTCGCATCGATTCAAGGTCAGCGGCGCAGAGATCGGGGAACAGAAAATAACATAGTGATTTGTTCTTATTCGCTGTTTTGTCGAGCGGTGCGGGCCCTCGCACCCCCACCCTCCCCCCACCCCCTAGCGTCGATTAGCGTCGGTTTAGCGTCGACTAGCGTCGATTCAAGGTCAGCGGCGCAGAGATCTGGGGACAGAAATAGCATAGTTGTCGTTCTCTGACTCATTGTTTGCCGGTCGGCGCGGGCCCTCGCACCCCCCTCATGGAGTGGATTTTGGCTGTTTTTTGCGCCTGTTTCGAGCAGATGGAGTCCCCCCCACAGGACGCACTGCTGCAAATCGTCGCACTAAGCAGAGGTCCGGAGCCAGAGCCCCCCCCCCCTTCCGCGCAGTGTCGAAACGCCGAGGAAGAAAACGTTCACCATACGCTCGGAACTTGTGGGATACGGTCGAGGGAAACAATTAGTGAACACCCCCCCTGCCCCCCAAACTCAAAGTTGGTAAGCGCGGGGAAGACTGCGGTCGAGGTGCCACTCATCAGACCCGCCGCCAAGTTTGAATATTGGGGGGAGGGGGAGGCGTTCGCAGAGGAATGTGGCATGAGTGTTCGCTATTGTTGTTCCGAGGCCAGTAGCGTGTCGCTCCTTCACACCAGGGTCCCGTATACACCAGGATCCGCCTTCCAGTGCAACTTCCAATGCAGGGAGGAGGAGGAGGAGTAGGAGGAGGAAGAGGAAATTCCCGAAGAAGCGTCGCTGTATAGAGTTCGATTCTCCACCTTCGGTTCTGGCCCACCACGCGTGGGCGCGCGGCACGCGGTCCTTCTCTCCCGGCCCCCGAGCGTGCACGTCCCCGGCTTTTTGTCCGAGCCTCCCGCGCCGCGGGACAGAGCGACACGCTACCCGCTCGCAGGGCCTTTGGTATCGTTCGGACGTGTGCACTTCTTCTTGGCGGGGATTCTTCAGGAGCACCCTGGATCATCCCGCGAAAAACCACGCGCGAAACCGACGCAAGCACAGGGAATGGACGTCCGGGCGATGGCCCCGGGGCACAGCGTGCCGACCCAGGAAGGGGGGTCCAGCTGAGATCCAAAAGAAACCCGCGCGGATGTTCAAAAGTAAGTTTCTCTGAGACAGGCGGAGTTTTATTGCGCGGGCATGCGCGCGAAGCTTTCCGCGCAAGGTCGCATCGTGTTCTGTCCCTCCTTTGTAAGCCCTGTGAGCGACGGAAGAATACGGGGTCGATTGCGCGGATATTTGCGCGTAAGGTTCCCGCGTAAGGTTGCGCGTGAGGTCCCTCGTTGCCATTACAGCGTGCCGCGCCGGCGGCCCGCGTAAGCCGCGAAGTATAGTCGCTACGTCATATCGTGTACGAGACACGTTGTTTGTCTTCGCTCAGGTGACTCTGGAGACCCCGGACGGCACCCAGGAGTTCGAGTGCCCCGAGGACGTGTACATCCTGGATCAGGCCCGAGAAGTACGAGTTTAGAAACAATTTGTTCCCCCTGACGGGCGTGACCAGGGGGGAGGGGGGGAGGGGAGGAGTCTGAGACGAGTTTCTCCCCCCCCCGACGGGCGTGACCCAGGGGTCAGGAGGGGGGCGAAAGGGGCCGGTAGCGTCACGATTCGCGCCGGCGCTGTTTCTGGGAGAATGGGTAATTCCCAGGCGGCGCCGGCGCATTGGTGACGTGAGAGGAGGGGGAGGAGGAGGAGGAGGGGGAGGAGGAGGAGGAGGAGGAGGAGGAGGAGGAGGAGGAGGAGGAGGAGGAGGAGAGGAGGAGGAGGAGGAGGAGGAGGAGGAGGAGGAGGAGGAGGAGGAGGAGGAGGAGGAGGAGGAGAGGAGGAGGAGGAGGAGGAGGAGGAGGAGGAGGAGGGGGGGGAGGGGGCGGGGCTGGCCCCAGGCGCTATCGCGAGAGAAGCACAAACGGGCGGGCTCCTACCTCAGCGTGCAGTCACTCGGCATCGCTCGGACGTGTGCATTTTTTTCCTCGGCGAGGACCATCGAGGACCATCCTAGGCCATCGAGCAACAAAAGCACGCACGAAGCCGAAACACGCACGGGAAATGGACGTCCGAGCGACGGCAAGGTCAAGACGATGACAGAAGGATCACTCTGGGATCAGGCAGGGCCCCGGTTTTCGGGCCAAACCGTAGAGCGAGGTCGGGGAGGCTCTGAGTGGCCGAGGCTCGCCGTGGCCACACAAACAATATTTCGTTACTTGTGCAGCATTCCTCTTGGTATTAGTAGCACGATGGACTTGGCATCGGTCGGACGTGTGCATGTTTCCTCGGCGAGAACCATCGAGGACCATCCTGGACAATCGAGCAATAAAAGCACGCACGAAACCGAAACATGCATGGACGTCCGAGCGACGGCAAGGAGTACTAGTAGCACGACGGCTCTAGCGGAGCTGTCGGGTCGGCGCTGGAGCCCCCTGGCGGCGCCTCCCGCGCGGCCCCTGGCGCGTGCCGCGCGCCAGGCCCGCGCGCCAGGGAGGGGGAGTTCCAGCGCCGACCCAGGAGTCCGAGGAGGAGGAGGAGGAGGAGGAGGAGGAGAAGGAGGAGCAGGAGGAGGAAGAGTCCGAGGCAGGGATGCATCCATGACCACCGCTGTGGGGATCGGTCTTCGAGGGCCCAGCGGGCGGTGGACGTGGGCGCACCCGGGCACCCCGAGCTCCAACAGGATGTCGATATCCACCGCAGGCCGGGGCCCAGGGCGTCGGATCCCCAGGCGGCGGATTCGGACACACCGTGATATGACGTGTGGCCTTTGCCAGGCAGCCAGTTGCATGCACTTGATGCCGCCGATCGCAAAGTGCGCACAGACGGTCGAGGGAAACGATCAGTGAACCCCCCCTGCCCCCCAAACTCAAAGTTGGCACTCGCGGGGGAGACTGCGGTCGAGGTGCCACTCATCAGACCCACCGCCAACTTTGCACATTGGGGGGAGGGGGAGGCGTTCACAGATGAATGTGGCACGAGTGTTCGCTATTTTTGTTCCGAGGCCTGGAAGCGCAGCGATCCGGCTTGACCCATCCATGCGCCGTCTTTCCAGCGCGTCGTGGTGATGGGCGGGTCCTTGGCCGCACGCGGGCCTAAAAATTTGGCCTCGCCTCTCGATCCGTCCTGGAGGCTACGATGCCCCTGGCAAGTACAAAAAATACCATGGTGCCCCCCCGCCTCGAAGAGAGACCTCGGCATCGCTCGGACGTGTGCATGCTTCCTTCGGCGAGGACCATCGAGGAGCATCCTCGATCATCTGGCGAAGAAACCACGCACGAAGCCGAAGAGAGCACAGGGAGTGGACGTCCGAGCGCCTTGGCCAGAGACCCGCGCGGGCCTCCGGAAGTCCTGCGGTCGGGCCGGTTCGTCTTTCAAGCAGTGGCGAAGCGTCCCGGCGTGCCTATAGCCCTACCAAACAATGTTCTAAGAACCTTTTGTGGTTTCCACGAAATGTTCTTGGAACACTTTTGGCTTGGACTGTTTTGTTTTAACACATCGGGTTTATGTTCTAAGAGCATTGTTTTTGTTCTTAGACCATGTTGGGTTCTACGAACATGTCGTGGTATGACTATAGGAATGCCGGGACGGTCGGTCCCTGCTCAAGTCTTCCCCGCTTGCAGGCGGAGGAGGAGGGCCTGGAGCTCCCCTACTCGTGCCGTGCGGGCTCCTGCTCCAGCTGCGCGGGCAAGGTTCAGGAGGGGAAAAAACCCACAGACACAATGAATCGTCGATTCCCCAAAAGATATTGGAACATGGGAAAGTATGGGGAATCCGGTTATTTGTGTCTATTATTTGTGTGCCCCAGGGCCCCTTCAAAGGTGCTCTCCGGGGAGATCGACCAGTCGGACCAGGCGTTCCTCGACGAGGACCTCAGGGGGCAAAGCTCGGGAGGGGGGGGAGGGGGGGGAAGGACCCTCTCGGACTCGAGGCTCGAGGCTTTTGTCGGGTGGTTTCGTCGGTTCTCGGCGGCTTTCCAGCCTCGCCGAGAGGCTTCCAAGGTTGCCCGGCTCGTCCCAGAAGGCTTCTTGAGACCCAAGGTATGGCCCGAAAGCCGGACAACGAGGATCATTGAAGGGGATGCAGTCAACATTGATAGTGAGGATGATCCACTTCTCCAGGGTACCCTTGCATCATTGCCTCTGCGGTCATCATCAGTCCATCCTCAACCACTTTCGATGGCCAACTCCGCTCGAAGAGCTTCGGCATGGGCGTCCAAGGCCCTTGAATCCTTAACCTCATGCCCGTGAGAATAAACACTAGGGGATAATAAAGTTCGGGGTTCAGGGAGAGATAGTAAAAGTAGCCCAGCAGACCTCAGCATAATCTCGAAGTAAGAGATGATCAAGAGGAGACCAAGCCGAGCACGTTTTGAGACATCCTTGGCGTTTAGTTTTCATAGAAATATCCTCAACAATGGCTTATCTCTCATGAAAATTGTTTTTTGTAAGTGCTCGTGTAGGGTAGCTCATGTGCCTCAATTTCCATGGATAATCAACCCCAGAGATAAAAAAGTTCAGGCGAGCGTGGGGACAGAGAGAAATATAAAAGAAGAAGAATACAGTAGAAGAACAATAAGAAAGAAGAAGAAGAGGAGAATAAGAAGAGGACGAAGAAAGGAAAAATCCAAAGTTCCAAATCTATCAATTTTAATTTACAAACGCTTTATGAAAATTGATTTTTTAAGTGCTCGTGTAGGGTAGCTCATGTGCTTCATTTTCCATGGATAATCAACCCCAGGGATAAAAAAGTTCAGGCGAGCGTGAGGACAGATAGAAATATAAAAGAAGAAGAGAAAAGTAGAATAATAATAAGAACATTGCTCGTTTCGTTTGAGTCTGCCTCCCAAAATTATTGGTTTCGTTTGACACCTCCTGAAAAAGTGTGATCGCTTCGCTTGATGTTGCTATATCAACATCGCTTGATGTTGCTATCTCAACATAGCGTTTCGAGGTGATAATGAAGTTCGGCCTCAGCGCTCGCCGCCCAATTTGAATTTTGTATAGGGCGACGATAATCAACTCTAAGCACTGAAGGGGAGGGGGTCCCTTTATTATCATCGGCATGCGGTTATCGCGCATCCTTACTAACAGTTTTAAATGTGGGCTCAGGGGAAGATACATCGACTCCAAATCGCCCACTCATCGCCGACCCCGCACAGGAACGTGCGGATTGATGATCGGGTGGATGTCGCAGGTCTATCGGCGATGTGCCGATTCCAGCTCGATGTTCCCCCCCTAAGCCGGTCCCCCGCCCTAACGTTGCCCCTCATAGGACCAGACGGGAGAGGGTTTCTGCCTCACGTGCGTGACTTACGCCACCTCGGACGTGACCATCAAGACGCACTGCGAGGACGACTTGTGAGGTGCAGGTGGAGATTATAGGGAGACAGACAAAATTGGTGTTGACGACGTGCTCGATTGACGGGCGGCGCAAAATTCAATTTTCATATCCTGGCCGTTTGGCGTGCAGGAGCCCGTTGGCCACACTGCGGCGCATCACGCTGGACGGACGAGCAGGGGGCGAGCAAAAAGCAAGAGGCACGCGCCTCCCTGGATGACTCAATCTGCAGGCCAGACGAGGACGCTTTGAGAAAGAGGCGCAGGGGTCTCGAGACGGTTGAAATGGGCACGGAAAGAATGGGGACACAGACTGACAATAGTTCCTCTCTATTTCGAACAGGGCTCCCCGTCGGTGACGCCGCGGGCGTGGTCCATTTGAGGCAGAAAGCCGTCTGCCC